TTGCATGCGCCGCTCATATTTATTTTTTATTTGGGCTTCAGGAGACAAGTTTGGTGTGATATCAACTCCTAGATCTTTCTCTCTGACCGTTTCATGAAGGACTTCATCTACCATTCGGTATCCTGTGTCTGTCCTCCTGTTTCCACCGCCTAGTTTCATTGCCTTACAATTATTTGGGTTGAACTTTAGTACCCATCTGAGAATACCCTCCTTTTCAATTCCGCCTGCATCTTCAGTTTGTGCACTAGTCTCTTATGTGGTAATGTGTCAAAAGCTTTCCTATCCTCAGTCTCATTACCTGTTCCTTCGGTGTTGCTTTTCTCCTGATGTGGCTGCGCAGCAATTTAGGTTCATTCTTTGCCTTGCTTACGATGTCATTTTTGTATTGTCCTTCTGCCTCTCTTCTCAACCTGACGTTCATTCCTGGCTCTCCGGTATCTTTCTCTGCTCTCCGGTGTCCTGTTATTTCTATAGTTTCTCCACGCCCTTCTACTGTGTTGCTTTGCTATCTTACATCTCTGGTTAAACCATGGGTTTCTCGTCTGCTTTTCGCTTTTTCCTTTTGGACTGGTACAAACTTGTCTGCTGCGTCCTTGCACTTCTGCGTGACGAAAGTCCACCGTGTCTTCAGAGGCGTCTGGAGGCTGTGGCCGCCTGGAGACTGTGGGCGTCTGGAGGCTGTGAACGCCTGGAGGCTGTGGATGCCTGGAGGCTGTGGGCGCCTGGAGGCTGTGGGCGCCTGGAGGCTGTGGACGCCTGGAGGCTGTGGCCGCCTGGAGGCTGTGGCGCCTGGAGGCTGTGGGCGCCTGAGGCTGTGGGCGCCTGGAGGCTGTGGCCGCCTGGAGGCTGTGGCCGCCTGGAGGCTGTGGCCGCCTGGAGGCTGTGGGCGCCTGGAGGCTGTGGCCGCCTGGAGGCTGTGGCCGCCTGGAGGCTGTGGGCGCCTGGAGGCTGTGGGCGCCTGGAGGCTGTGGCCGCCTGGAGGCTGTGGCCGCCTGGAGACTGTGGCCGCCTGGAGGCTGTGGGCGTCTGGAGGCTGTGGATGCCTGGAGGCTGTGGACGTCTGGAGGCTGTGGGCGCCTGGAGGCTGTGGGCGCCTGGAGGCTGTGGACGCCTGAGGCTGTGGGCGTCTGGAGGCTGTGGCCGCCTGGAGACTGTGGCCGCCTGGAGGCTGTGGGCGTCTGGAGGCTGTGGATGCCTGGAGGCTGTGGACGTCTGGAGGCTGTGGGCGCCTGGAGGCTGTGGGCGCCTGGAGGCTGTGGCCGCCTGGAGGCTGTGGGCGTCTGGAGGCTGTGGCCACCTGGAGACTGTGGGCGTCTGGAGGCTGTGGATGCCTGGAGGCTGTGGACGTCTGGAGGCTGTGGGCGCCTGGAGGCTGTGGGCGCCTGGAGGCTGTGGACGCCTGGAGGCTGTGGACGCCTGGAGGCTGTGGCGTCTGGAGGCTGTGGACACCTGGAGGCTGTGGACGCCTGGAGGCTGTGGACGTCTGGAGGCTGTGGGCGTCTGGAGGCTGTGGACACCTGGAGGCTGTGGATGCCTGGAGGCTGTGGGCGCCTGGAGGCTGTGGACACCTGAAGGCTGTGGACGCCTGGAGACTGTGGGCGTCTGGAGGCTGTGGATGTCTGGAGGCTGTGGGCGCCTGAAGGCTGTGGACGCCTGGAGGCTGTGGACGCCTGGAGACTGTGGGCGTCTGGAGGCTGTGGATGCCTGGAGGCTGTGGACGCCTGGAGACTGTGGATGCCTGGAGGCTGTGGATGCCTGGAGGCTGTGGGAGCCTGGAGGCTGTGGACGCCTGGAGACTGTGGGCGCCTGGAGGCTGTGGACGCCTGGAGGCTGTGGACGCCTGGAGACTGTGGGCGTCTGGAGGCTGTGGATGCCTGGAGGCTGTGGATGCCTGGAGGCTGTGGGCGCCTGGAGGCTGTGGACGCCTGGAGGCTGTGGACGCCTGGCGACTGTGGGCGCCTGGAGGCTGTGGATGCCTGGAGGCTGTGGACGCCTGGAGACTGTGGGCGTCTGGAGGCTGTGGATGCCTGGAGGCTGTGGACGTCTGGAGGCTGTGGATGCCTGGAGGCTGTGGGCGTCTGGAGGCTGTGAATGCCTGGAGGCTGTGGGCGTCTGGAGGCTGTGGGCGTCTGGAGGCTGTGAATGCCTGGAGGCTGTGGGCGCCTGGAGGCTGTGAATGCCTGGAGGCTGTGGGCGCCTGGAGACTGTGGGCGTCTGGAGGCTGTGGACGCCTGGAGGCTGTGGGCGTCTGAAGGCGCCTGGAGACTGTGGGCGTCTGGAGGCTGTGGACGCCTGGAGTCTGTGGGCGTCTGAAGGCGCCTGGAGACTGTGGGCGTCTGGAAGCTGTGGGCGTCTGGAGGCTGTGGATGCCTGGAGGCTGTGGCCGCCTGGAGGCTGTGGCCGCCTGGAGGCTGTGGACGCCTGGAGGCTGTGGGCGCCTGAGGCTGTGGACGTCAGGAGGCTGTGGATGCCTGGAGACTGTGGATGCCTGGAGACTGTGGCGTCTGGAGGCTGTGGATGCCTGGAGACTATGGGCGTCTGGAGGCTGTGGATGCCTGGAGGCTGTGGGCGTCTGGAGGCTGTGGGCGCCTGGAGACTGTGGGCGTCTGGAGGCTGTGGACGCCTGGAGGCTGTGGGCGTCTGGAGGCTGTGGGCGCCTGGAGACTGTGGGCGTCTGGAGGCTGTGGACGTCTGGAGGCTGTGGATGCCTGGAGGCTGTGGGCGTCTGGAGGCTGTGGACGCCTGGAGACTGTGGGCGTCTGGAGGCTGTGGATGCCTGTAGGCTGTGGGCGCCTGGAGACTGTGGACGTCTGGAGGCTGTGGACGTCTGGAGGCTGTGGCCGCCTGGAGACTGTGGGCGTCTGGAGGCTGTGGATGCCTGGAGGCTGTGGATGCCTGGAGGCTGTGGACGCCTGGAGACTGTGGGCGTCTGGAGGCTGTGGATGCCTGGAGGCTGTGGATGCCTGGAGGCTGTGGACGCCTGGAGACTGTGGGCGTCTGGAGGCTGTGGATGCCTGGAGGCTGTGGGCGTCTGGAGGCTGTGGGCGCCTGGAGGCTGTGGGCGTCTGGAGCTGTGGGCGCCTGGAGACTGTGGACGCCTGGAGACTGTGGATGCCTGGAGGCTGTGGACGCCTGGAGGCTGTGGCCGCCTGGAGGCTGTGGACGTCTGGAGGCTGTGGACGTCCTGGAGGCTGTGGATGCCTGGAGGCTGTGGAAAATCAAAATCCAAAACCTCGACCAGTATTGGACCGTTAATTACAAATGAAGGTACGTACACAGAGGACAACAAAGAGATTAGTGAAATTCTAAGAAGCCAGTATGAGGCTATGTTTAGCACACCAATAAACAACATGAAAGTTGATGACCCAGACAGCTTCTTTATGAATGACATTCAAGCTGCAGATAATATAACGGATATTACCACAAACTCGGAAGACTTTGAAAGAGAAATTGATAATATGCCTATGCACTCAGCTCCTGGGCCTGACTCATGGAATTCAATATTCATAAAGAAATGTAAAGTACCAGTAGCGAGAGCACTCAGCGTAATATGGAGAAAGAGCCTGGATATAGGGGAGATACCAGCAGCACTTAAATCTGCGGATATAGCTCCGTTGCACAAGGGGGGGAGTAAAGCCTTGGCAAAAAATTATAGGCCAGTTGCACTAACATCACACATAATAAAAGTGTTTGAAGAGTGATTAGGAATCAAATTTCTAGTTTTATGGAAAACAATGAATTGCACAATCCAGGACAACATGGATTTAGAGCGGGAAGATCCTGTCTGTCACAGTTACTCAACCACTATGACAAAATCACAGAAGCCCTAGAAGAAAAGCAAAATGCAGATGTTGTATACACAGACTTTGCAAAGGCGTTCGACAAATGTGACCATGGGGTGATAGCTCACAAAATGAGGTCAATGGGAATAACTGGAAAAGTAGGACGCTGGATACTCAATTTCCTGTCGAACAGAACACAAAGAGTAACAGTCAATCAGATAAAATCGAGTCCAAGCGATGTTAAAAGCTCTGTACCTCAAGGTACAGTCCTTGCACCGCTACTGTTCCTTATTCTCATATCTGATATAGACAAAAATACACGCCACAGCTTCGTGTCGTCCTTTGCAGATGACACAAAATCAGCATGAAAATTACCTCTGCTGAAGACATTGAAAAACTACAAGCAGATGTCAACAAAGTTTTTGATTGGGCAGCAGAAAATAACATGATGTTTAACAGTGATAAATTTCAGGTACTCAGGTACGGCAAAAATGAGGATCTGAAACATAATACAGGGTACAAAACACAATCGAATCTTCCCATAGTAGAAAAACAGCATGTCAAGGATTTGGGAATAATGATGTCCGACGATCTAACGTTTAGGGAGCATAACCAAGCAAATATCGCGTCAGCCAGAAAAATGATCGGATGGATTACGAGAACTTTCAAATCCAGGGATCCCATCACAATGGTTGTACTCTTCAAGTCACTTGTGTTGTCCCGTCTCGAGTACTGCTCAGTACTCACTTCCCCCTTCAGAGCAGGAGAGATTGCTGAAATAGAGGGAATACAGAGAACATATACGGCACGCATAGACGCGATAAAACACCTAAATTATTGGGATCGTCTCAAAGCTCTCCAAATGTACTCTCTAGAAAGGAGACGAGAGAGATACCAAATAATATACACATGGAAAATACTGGAGGGTCAGGTCCCAAATCTACACAGTAAAATAACAACGTACTGGAGTGAACGATATGGAAGAAAATGCAAGATTGAACCTGTGAAGAGCAGAGGTGCCATAGGCACAATCAGAGAGCACTGTATAAACATCAGGGGTCCGCGGTTGTTCAACGTCCTCCCAGCGAGCATAAGAAATATTGCCGGAACAACCGTGGACATCTTCAAGAGAAAACTGGACGGTTTTCTAAGAGAAGTTCCGGATCAGCCGGGCTGTGGTGGGTACGTGGCCCTGCGGGCCGCTCCAAGCAACAGCCTGGTGGACCAAACTCACAAGTCGAGCCTGGCCTCGGGCCGGGCTTGGGGAGTGGAAGAACTCTCAGAACCCCATCAACCAGGTATCAACCAGGGTATCGACGCCTGGAGGCTGTGGCCGCCTGGAGGCTGTAGCCGCCTGGAGACTGTGGGCGTCTGGAGGCTGTGGGCGTCTGGAGGCTGTGGGCGCCTGGAGGCTGTGGACGTCTGGAGGCTGTGGATGCCTGGAGGCTGTGGATGCCTGGAGGCTGTGGGCGCCTGGAGACTGTGGGCGTCTGGAGACTGTGGGCGTCTGGAGGCTGTGGACGTCTGGAAGCTGTGGATGCCTGGAGGCTGTGGATGCCTGGAGGCTGTGGGCGTCTGGAGGCTGTGGGCGCCTGGAGGCTGTGGACGTCTGGAGGCTGTGGATGCCTGGAGGCTGTGGATGCCTGGAGGCTGTGGGCGCCTGGAGACTGTGGGCGTCTGGAGGCCGTGGATGCCTGGAGCTGTGGATGCCTGGAGGCTGTGGGCGTCTGGAGGCTGTGGGCGCCTTGGAGACTGTGGGCGTCTGGAGGCTGTGGCCCGCCTGGAGACTGTGGGCGTCTGGAGGCTGTGGATGCCTGGAGGCTGTGGGCGTCTGCAGGCTGTGGGCGCCTGGAGACTGTGGGCGTCTGGTGGCTGTGGGCGCCTGGAGACTGTGGGCGTCTGGAGGCTGTGGATGCCTGGAGGCTGTGGGATGCCTGGAGGCTGTGGGCGTCTGGAGGCTGTGGGCGCCTGGAGACTGTGGGCGTCTGGAGGCTGTGGGCGCCTGGAGGCTGTGGACGTCTGGAGGCTGTGGATGCCTGGAGGCTGTGGATGCCTGGAGGCTGTGGGCGCCTGGAGACTGTGGGCGTCTGGAGGCCGTGGATGCCTGGAGGCTGTGGATGCCTGGAGGCTGTGGATGCCTGGAGGCTGTGGGCGTCTGGAGGCTGTGGGCGCCTTGGAGACTGTGGGCGTCTGGAGGCTGTGGCCGCCTGGAGACTGTGGGCGTCTGGAGGCTGTGGATGCCTGGAGGCTGTGGGCGTCTGGAGGCTGTGGGCGCCTGGAGACTGTGGGCGTCTGGTGGCTGTGGGCGCCTGGAGACTGTGGGCGTCTGGAGGCTGTGGATGCCTGGAGGCTGTGGATGCCTGGAGGCTGTGGGCGTCTGGAGGCTGTGGGCGCCTTGGAGACTGTGGGCGTCTGGAGGCTGTGGATGCCTGGAGGCTGTGGGCGTCTGGAGGCTGTGGATGCCTGGAGGCTGTGGGCGTCTGGAGGCTGTGGGCGCCTGGAGGCTGTGGATGCCTGGAGGCTGTGGGCGTCTGGAGGCTGTGGATGCCTGGAGGCTGTGGGCGTCTGGAGGCTGTGGGGCGCCTGGAGGCTGTGGGCGCCTGGAGGCTGTGGACGTCTGGAGGCTGTGGATGCCTGGAGGCTGTGGGCGTCTGGAGGCTGTGGGCGCCTGGAGACTGTGGGCGTCTGGAGGCTGTGGATGCCTGGAGGCTGTGGGCGTCTGGAGGCTGTGGATGCCTGGAGGCTGTAGGCGTCTGGAGGCTGTGGATGCCTGGAGGCTGTGGACGCCTGGAGGCTGTGGGCGTCTGGAGGCTGTGGACGCCTGGAGGCTGTGGGCGTCTGGAGGCTGTGGGCGCCCTGGAGACTGTGGGCGTCTGGAGGCTGTGGATGCCTGGAGGCTGTGGACGCCTGGAGGCTGTGGCCGCCTGGAGGCTGTGGCCGCCTGGAGACTGTTGGGCGCCTGGAGGCTGTGGATGCCTGGAGGCTGTGGATGCCTGGAGGCTGTGGGCGTCTGGAGGCTGTGGGCGTCTGGAGGCTGTGGGCGCCTGGAGGCTGTGGGCGCCTGGAGGCTGTGGACGTCTGGAGGCTGTGGATGCCTGGAGGCTGTGGGCGTCTGGAGGCTGTGGGCGCCTGGAGACTGTGGGCGTCTGGAGGCTGTGGATGCCTGGAGGCTGTGGGCGTCTGGAGGCTGTGGGCGCCTGGAGGCTGTGGACGCCTGGAGGCTGTGGGCGGCGCAGATGACCACCACCATCCTATCCCTGACCCACATGTTGCGTCCCCAACACACGTACACGCGCGCGCAAACACACACAGACAAGTACAATCACCTCAGGTGTACGGAGTCTCACCCTCCCGTTAATAACAGGATCAGTAACACCTTCACCTGGCTACACTGTCAACATCTTAAGTACTAACCGGACCATCTCAAAACATGGCATCATTGGGACTAAGTTCATCACAATACTCCAGTGCGTCACATGTGAGTCTTAAGTATGTAAGACTACGTCACATGTGAGTCACATGTAAGACCACGTCACATGTGAGTCACATGTAAGACCACGTCACATGTGAGTCACAAGTATGTAAGACTACGTCACATGTGAGTCATATGTAAGACCACGTCACATGTAAGACCACGTCACAACACGTCACAAGTATGTAAGACTACGTCACAAGTATGTAAGACTACGTCACAAGTATGTAAGACTACGTCACATGTGAGTCACATGTATGTAAGACCACGTCACATGTGAGTCACAAGTATGTAAGACTACGTCACATGTGAGTCACATGTATGTAAGACCACGTCACATGTGAGTCACAAGCATGTAAGACCACGTCACAAACACGTCACATGTGAGTCACAAGTATGTAAGACTACGTCACATGTGAGTCACATGTATGTAAGACCACGTCACAACACGTCACATGTATGTAAGACCACGTCACATGTGAGTCACAAGTATGTAAGACTACGTCACATGTGAGTCACATGTATGTAAGACCACGTCACAAACACGTCACATGTGAGTCACATGTATGTAAGACCACGTCACAACACGTCACATGTGAGTCACAAGTATGTAAGACTACGTCACAACACGTCACATGTGAGTCACAAGCTGTAAGACCACGTCACATGTATGTAAGACCACGTCACAACACGTCACATGTATGTAAGACCACGTCACAACACGTCACATGTGAGTCACAGGTATGTAAGACTACGTCACAACCGTCACATGTGAGTCACAAGCATGTAAGACCACGTCACATGTGAGTCACAAGCATGTAAGACCACGTCACAACACGTCACATGTGAGTCACATGTATGTAAGACCACGTCACAACACGTCACATGTGAGTCAC